TTAGCCCACAATATAATAAACAAGTTTCAGATACAGCATAAAACTATGTACACAATCCAAATTTAGGAAAAAAAACCTAAAAATTCTTCCCTATTTCCTCCCCTCCCCCCAAAAAATGAAGTAAAAAAGTAACAAGTTGGTATTTTTTACCTTTTGTATGTACAAAAATGTGACCTCGGTTTAAGAACATTAAGTTATTACTGTTTCTGTAAACTCAAAAGAGACTTGTAGTGTAAAACAAAATTATTGTTATAATGATATGTTGTTAGCTTTATTTTAGGACATTGTGATCTTTAGGTTTTTACTGTTTGTCAAAGCAATTAAAGAGACTCATGACTCAAACCAAGCATACCTAGGCAGTAGTTTAGCAACTTCAAGTAACTCAAATAACTTCTCAAGCCATAAAGAAACTGTTTAACTGCTCAGAGAAATGAGGAGAAAAAAGGAAATAATTAAAAGAGCTGAAACAAACACTCAACATCACTAATTTTTTTCAGAATGGCTCAGAGACAGGCTGGGGAAGGGAAAGGATAGAGTATATAACTTTAACTTGTGATACTCCGCCAACAGAACTTTGCCTGTCGGCTACAAGAATGCAGCCAAATGCAAGAAAGAGGCCATGTGCAAGAAAGCAAAGCTGGTTTTATTGCTAGGACCAGGCTGACATGCCAGAGTTTTAGCTCAAAATCTGTATCTTGCAATTTTTGAGAATGGCTCTTTGTGATTTGGATGTGTAACTAAAGAATAACCAAGTTCTGACAAGAGCAGGCAGAGTCAGACTGGAAAAAACAGGGCGAGAGGGAGGGATGTAATCAATGTTACAACAGCTCTCATACACAAACTGAAGTGCTTTGTGCAATCCTGACCTTAGTGAAAAACAGTGTATCAAGTACTTATATGATAATACCTAGCATTTTTCTTATTTCCCCTTTCTTGTTTCAATTCTTGGGATGAATCTTCATTGGAGATTTCCTCAAAGATGTACTCCTGCTTCCTCTAGGTGTGCCAAGATAGCAAGAAGACTCAAGTGCCTAGGCAGCTAAATGCTATCCTGTGCATTTAGATTCGAAGTGCCTCTTATGCCAACAACAAAGTAGAATCCTGAACATAATAAACCGAATCTTTTCCATAAGTGGTTGCTTCACTAAATATTGACAACTTTAGACACAATGTCCATGCTTATAATTAGAACACTGCATTGTCGCTTCAGAGAAATAAACTGTCCTGAATGCCAAGACAGAACTATTCTGAGTTTTCCTGTATAGAAGAGTTTCCTCCACAGACTTCAGTTTAACACAGCTGTAGGGGTAACTGCTCACTCCCACAAGAGAAGTGGTTCCATTCCTTTCTCCTTCCCTCTTTGTACCAGCAGCAGCTCTTGCTGGGGCGTTCCAGAGCCAGTTAACACAGCACAAACCACTGCTGTCAGATTAGGTTCTGCCTGTTCAGCAAGCTGAACTGGCTCAGTGACACATCCCACAAGCAGCAGGCTGGCACAAAGGAGGGCACAGGCAGATCTCCCTCTGTAGAAGCTGCCAGCTGTCAGTCACACCTCTGGCAGGACACACAGCAGCCCAGCCACTCCCAAAAGGTACCGAGGGTGGGGAGCCCCTCGCTCTGACTGCCCAGGGGACAGGCTGGCATGCACAAGTGCCACATATGCCAAATGTAATCTTACCGCAACACATTAATTACTGTCAGAAGTTACATATTCTGAAAACTCAGTTTCCACTCCCTGCAGAGCAATCAGCTTCCTTCCACTTCAAATGCCACATCTCAGTTGCTTACCTGAGAAACTAGCACACTATGTCCCATGTATTTATGCAAGGGTGTGTCAAAGAAAAAAACCCTGTCATTCACAGCATAGTGATTAACTCTAAAATAAAGTTCACTTAGACATAAAGGTTTGGAATCTTCTTAAAAATGTGTTGTTTCACAGGAGATGCTAATGCAAATTAAGTAAACTAATATATTTTAAAAAGAAAGGAAACTTTGTTATGAAGAATACAGAAAAATCAAATTTGCCACTAAGTACAGAACTGACAGTTAACGCTGGCTAACAAACTAAAGCTGAGCCCTTGAAAGAATTCAGAACTCCTGCCTCAAATAATCTCAGCACACATGTTTTCCCTGTATTTAAGACTGAAACCTTGCACACAATCTGTAATTACAGATTTACTGCAGCACTTGCCTCAAATCCTTGATACAATGACATGGGATTTGACACAACCAAGCTACCACCTAGATAACTTGGAAGTGTGACCACTGTTCCAAACCTTCTTTACAACCAATTTCATGCAACTACTCTATTGATTAAGATTACTACAGACTGAGGAGTATTCCAGCACGTGCCACATGCTCCCAAGGCTGGATTAAAATATAGTAATAGTCATGCCAGTTAAAGACTGTATAGCTGAGTGCCAGCTTGGCACTGATATTAAATGGCTTTTGAGAATACCGCTGATAATATATTAGGAACACCTTTCCTACAGCACAGAAATGATGGATGTTCAGGATCCCCCTTCACTGCTCAGACAGCATCAATCCATTGATTTTAAAAATACAACCAAACAAAAAAGCCCAACACCACCACTAAAAAAAAAAAACCAACCCAACCTAAAGCAAACAAAAATTAACCCCTCCAACAAATAAACACCACCAAAAAAACACACCAAAAACCACCAAAAAAAGCCAATGCATAGCAATATGACTTTAACACTGCAACTCCTCATACTCTGATGGTTTTCACAGAGAGTTAGCTCCCTGGTCCTTCAATGAATCTGTCCTTAAGGCCTGGGTTTGGAAGTTTTTATTCACTGTCTACAGTTAATGAGCTCAAAACCACAAATTTTTTAGTTCATTTAAAATACTGTACACTAGCATCAGCTCTATATATAGCATGTGAGTGCAACACATTTATGAAAAAACCTTGTGAAATTAATGAAATAAATAATTTCTGTAAAGGAGTAATTATGAAAATTATGTCCACTTTTTAAATTGGAAAACAACATTTAATAAACCTCCTGCTCATTACATAAGCACAAAAGAAAGTATTAGCTAGTCATAATTTTAATTCAAAGTCAAATGTTACAATAGTTACATGTAAATGCTTTCAGGAGAGAATGTCTAGATGTGCATCCTTCAAGATCCCATTCAATTAGCAACTGCTACAACTGCTGTTTAGGAGATCTTATCAGCCTTCCAAAAAGATACCTGATTTCACAAGAACATTTTGAATCCCACAAATTCTAGTAAAATGTACAAAAAAATTCACGAAAGGAGTGTTATTTTCCAAAAAAACTCATTAAAGAATGTATTTGCTGACATACTCACTTGTATCATTTTGAGTAAAACTGAGTGTGCCTACTAAGATCTGTAACTAACCAAATTACCACAGCTCCACTGCAAGTCACCATAATATGCAAAATTAAGGCTTATTAAAAAAAATTTCAAGTTCTGGTTTTTTTCAACACATTCCCTCAAACTAGCTATTTCCCTGAGCTACCAAAGATATTAATACAGAGAGGAATATCATTAATAAATACAGGACAGATTAAAAGAGGCACAAAGAATGTCATTACTGCATGAAGTTACAGAAACAAAGTAAATCCTTTATGTACTACCCAAAAGAGCAACTTTTAAACAAATTCCAGTACACTATTAGAAACACGCAAAAAGTTCTTTAAAAAACTACCTGCTTCTGCTCTTGAAAAGACAAGTTACAAGCTTCTTTCATTAAAATATCCATTATATATGTTTTCAGATTGCACACTCATCTGCCCCCCACAAAAAATCAAATTAAAGTTTTACAGTTTAACCTAATATATTTCTGAATTACAAAAGTTGAAGGAGATAAGACTGGGTAGAAAAGGTCATTATGTGGAAGCTTTTCTTGCATTTTACAATGGTTTAATCCACCTTAGAAAATAAGACAGCATTGTACATGAATTGAAGGCAAAAATAATTACACACTTTGCTCACATCCTCAAGAGACAGGTAGAAGAAAGGTCAATTTCTTCAATATAAACGTTTCCTCTTCTTCAGAAAAGCACAAGCATTACAGCTTTTTTCAAAACGCATTTCCAAGAGATGACAAGGATTTACTGCCAACTGACAGGTCCTGACCTCCCACCTCCTTTTTCCCGTCCTCTCCCTTCTCAAACTGGCACAGGTACTAATTTGGATCAATACAGCTTATTAATTAGAAAATTCTTTTAGTGCCCACTGAACTATTCTCTCACATTGTCTGACCAAAATCTAGCTTCTTTGCTGTTCCCACTGTAACCCTCTAGCATGGACTAGAACATTTGTTCCCACCTCCCAAAACAGAAGTTAGGCAAAGCTTTCCCAAACGTGTAATCCTGTATTCTTACGCAATGATAAAAACTGTCTGGTTTTAGTCACAGTAAGGAATAGGAAGGACCAAAAAAAAAAAATCAGCATAACAGGTGGGTAATTCTTTCCTGCACCTCTAACACAGTCTTCAAGATGATGTGATGTCAACCAGGAGAAACTCAACGTGAGCTTTCAGACATGTCCCTAGCACAGAAACAGAGACAGGTTTTGTACCGGTACGTCAGAGGTTGCTCAACTGCCCAAAGCGAGAACGCCAAAGAGCTGATTTGAACACCAGCAGCTGGAGGCAAGAAACAATTGAAACTTTTTATTTTTTTAAGAAGAAAATCACTTACGACCCACCCAACAAATTTTCATTTTGTAGATCAGTTCAAAAAACTCCCAACAATTTTTATCACAAAAACTCTTCTAATATCAGAGCTCTATTTTTATGCCAATTGGGTATTGCAACAGTGTGTAACTCATGTGAAACCTCTCTATCATCAATAAAAGCTTAAATATATTCTTCCTCACATAGAATCATACAAAGCAAATTTAGGAAAGGGGGAGAGGCTGAGGTTCTTTTTCAACCAGAGTCTCCTCAAATAATAGTTGATTTGCAAAAACTCACTGGAATGTTTACAAGAAGTAAAACATTTACTTGCCTCTACCTCCAAAATTGCTGCATCATGGCTGTCTCTGCTCTTAAAGGAGACCTGAAAAGCAAAAAAAAATTGGGCTTGTGCCCTATTTTGCTTCTTTAAGATGTTTGAGAGGCATGAAGAGTTGGAATTAGGGGTTTTTTTCCCCTGTGATGGACATGAATTATTCCTTCTTGTTTACACTTGAGACTAAAATTATTTCAAGAAGCCATAATATAAGACAACCTAGTAAAGGAAAAACAGTGCAAGAATCAGCAGAAGCTAAGTCACAGAAGACAGAACAAACTTTTTTTTTTCCCCTCACCCCTACTTCTTCAAGTTCTCCTCCATTTGGGTGATGAATAACACAAAATCCTTTTCCAGAGTTAAGCATTCTTGCACTATCATTATTTGTGATTTGCACACAAATGTATGTTTTAACACTGTGCATGCTAAAGAAAAAAAAAAAAAAAAACCATGGAAAAAACCCCAGAAATTTGACTGAGGTTGTATTTTCAAATTTTAAGATGAAAGATTTTAAGATGAAAGGGGAAAACTCAAGTCCTTTTCAGAGACTCTTTATGGTTCAAAATAAGAAAAATAAGCAAAAAAATAATAGTTAGAAGTTCTCTGCAAATGGAAAAGAGTGAAAAATCCATGAACTGGCTAGCTATAAAAGGGAGACAAACATGACTTTCTCTTCCACTACTAATATAGCCTTTAAGACATTTCCTGTATATGCTGTAGTGATGCAGTTATCAGAACAGAAAAGCTGTAATGTATGTCCTAAGAATTATCATATTTCATCTTATAGCACCAGTAAAATAAAATTAAAATTTATGCTAGATGCAAAGGAGCAAAGAGTATAGTTTATTTTAACTAATGCCCATTACTGCTGGGGCAAGTAGAGTAGCTCATAAGTATTAAGTGAGATGGGATGGCACCATGTATTTCCATTAAAAAAAACTGTTCAAAGCCCCTTCCTATTCCTTCCACCCCCACTTCAACTATGTAATTATCATATATGAAAAAGGAAAGTCTAATTTTTTTTGTTTTTGTAAAAAAGGAAATTTAAAATGCTGCTTATGAAAAACATGGAGTCACCAAGAAAAATAAAAGCACGGTTCCTAAAAATAAGAAAAATATATCTAAAGTACATCCTTAGAAACTATTTAAGACAACAAATTCTCATGAATTATAGATCACTGAAAAGCTACACTCAACCAGTACAGGGTTGTAGTCAATATTTTAAGCCAAATCAGTGAACTGGCTGAAGGTTCTCGTCATTACACACATGGAACATGATCATCCTGAAATGCTAAACCAACATTAGATAGGCCAAAGACCTGAGCATCTTTACCACAGGTCTGTTACTCAACTCAGCTCTCTGTTATCAACAATTATAATATTACTTCTCCAACTGCAACACGCAAAAGGCACCAATTCAAACAATACTGGCACTTAAATAAAAGCTCCAATGGCATAATTAAAAAGGGGTTATTTTGGTTTGTGGGTTTCGGGACAGTTGGTTTCTGTTTGGGGTTTTTTTGGTACATTTTGCTTTTGTGGTTTTTTGGTTGGTGGAGGGGGCATGTTTGGTAGGGGTTTCTTTTCTCCCCATATACATATTATAAACAGAGAATGGAACTAAATAAAACCAGGAAAAAATAAACAAATTCCATGTTTCTTTAAAATATTGGGGAAAAGTCTATTTAAAAATGAACTACAATTAAGAAAATTATGTTTCATTTAGAAATTACTTACAGACGTCTATAAAGAATCAGATTTCAAGATCTATCACACAAAAAAACTGTTTCAAAGCTATGGAGAAAAAAAATCACAAAATTACAGATTTTTTTTCCTCCTTTCTGTTGAACAAAAATTATTTTCCTCAAAAAGTGCTTACTTTCCTGGGAGAAATATATGGTAACATAGCAAGCTAGAAGTCGAAGTGAAAATATTTTAATACAGACACTCATGTATCTCACATCATAGAACGTGAAGGTGAAGTTCAGCTTTGCAGGTTGAGTCTATTTAACAACCAGCTGTCACTGAAAATAGCAGCCCTGACTCTGCTACTTCCACTGAGCTGCCCCTGCTGCTCAGACAATTGTGCAGGGGCCAATTTAGGAAACTCACAAACTCAACTGACTCCCGAGGATGCACGTGAAGCAGTGGGAACAGATGTCCTAGGGCCTTTAATGGGAACTGACCATCAGATCAATCCAAACATAGTGCCATACCACACAGAGAAAACCTTCAACAATTTGCAATAGAGAGATTTTTGTCCTCTGAGAACTACTAATATGATTAGAGCTCAGGCATTACTCTGCTTAAGAGTGTGTGAGCCTCTTCAATCCTGCATAATTTGACTCAAATTTAAGTAAAGACACTTTGAATTAAATTCTAATTTAAGGATACCTATGGTTACTTCAATATCCATGATATCACCTTCTTAAGGCAAAGTGCATTTATATAGTGTAGAATCACTTTAAGATTACCAAACATATGAATGATAAAAACATATTGCTTTTTTTTTTTTAATTATGTTTTTAGTACCCTTTTTACTATGCAATACATAGTACATATGCAACTATTTATCTTGATACCTCTTCTGTCTATACAATTACCTCATACAAAGTATTAAATCCCATTTAAGTGTTACAGAACAAAAGTGCCAACTGACTTTGGGGGAAAAAAATATCTAAGTAATCAAGTCAAATCAAGTAAAAATCGAAGTACCTCAACGATCAATTTCAATGCTATTCTCCATAGGTATTTGAAATAAATTACTCTTCTGCTGTAATTTACAAACAATGCTTAAACTCTATACTCAAACTTCTTGCTGCAGACAAGGGAGAGACACCTTCACAAAAAAGTGCTTGCCTAAGTCAGAAAAATCATCAGTGAAAGTTGTTGATAGGATTTTTTTCCCTCTGCTAGTGAAGCACATTTTAATTATTCAGCAAGCTACTCTAATACTCAACAAAAGCAAAACTGAAGTTCCCAATGCAAGTTCCTCATGCTCAACTAAGCATATGCAGTGTAACCCCGTATCTTCCCTGTTCTGCCCCCAACCCTCACCCAGCAGGCAGAGTTAATATGATTTACTCCACTTTTGTAGGATGTCACATTCTTGTGATGGGGACAAAAAGGTGGAAACCATCTGCACTAAAACTTTATTGACTGACTTAGTACATAACATAAACTATTTAGCACACCAATGCTCAAGTTTCACAAGGCAAGGAAGGCGTACACTGCAGTTGCAGTGTATACAAAATAGAAAGTAGGCACAGCTCATCATCTATAAAAATGTTAAAGGAGACCAACAGCATGAAATACACAGACAAATCAATGGATCAGGAAAGAACATCAGAAAAAAAAAAAAAAAAAAATGAGGTGGCTCAAAGCGAGATGGGATGTTTTTATTTGGGCACTTAAACAGATACAAACTCTTTTAATAGCTTGCCCTAACATGATAGGACATGCAGGATAACATACCTACTGGAGTTTTAAAATATTGCCCCATTTTAGACAGGAGATGTTATTTCATTACTCTGAAGATACCAACAAATAAGCTCTTAAACCTCTGACGATGCAACAGTATACAGAAATGCCACAAATACTCAAAAACACAGTAACAGTTTTTCTAATATACCTATATAAGAAAAGGCACAAAGATAATAAAGAATTACACCAAAAGATAAAGTTTGCACTGTATATGTTCACCAAGAGTCCAAAGACCAGCAAAATTACCTCTGAATAAGCATGTAACATCTGAAACTCCAGGTTTCAGAAATCATTAGTACAAAGCTCCACACTGAGCTTTTCACTTTGTGCATTTCAAATGTTGCCTTTATATATGGGAATAAGCTTGGGGTTTTTTTGGTGGTATGTCACCAACCACACACAGTCCCAGGACACTGAATTCCACGCACTCTGCAAGTCCTCTATGTCCTAATGTTCACCCCATCCTCCAAGTAATTATGTGTCTCTTAACACTATTAACCACTGTAAACGCTGGTATGAAGAACTGAGTGAACAGACTAGAATTGAAATATCTAGTTTGATACGTATGAAAAATCTCAGAGAAAGCAAGAAACTGTTTATCATCTTAGAAAATGTACTTGCAAAAATCACAGATAAATAAGCATTAGGAAAAAAACCCCTTTTGTGACTATTGTCACAATTTTCTGGAGACTTAACACCTTGTTCTCAGTTTCCTCCTGATCCCTCAGGCCTAATTTTATTCATCTTATACTTACTGCATTTACCGTTGGCTGTGTTGCCTCACTTCCTTTTTAATAACTGCCTTTCATAGTCTCAAATTGGTTGCACAGGTGAGGATACGTTACTTCTTTTTTTTTTTTTTCTTTTCGAAACAAGCAAAAAAATCTCCAAAAGCCCTGCCTGTTTAAAAGAAGTTTAGTTTTTTAGTTTTTCTAATTTAAGGCCAGTAACAAGACATACAACAAAAGACCACTACTCTAATCATTAAAACTTGTTGATGAATACTGCTCAGGATTAATGATGAACTGGCTATTACATGCATGTCACACAGTATGACCAAAGTAACAGCATTTAATGTATCAAGAAAAAAAATAATTCTACATTAAGATTTTACTTCTCTGAGATTAGATGTAAACAAACCACACTGGAGTACCAAAATTTTAGCTTGATCTTTACCAACAAGCTGTTTTCATTTTAGCATATAGGAATGTATGAAGCCCATGATGCACAAAACCAGATACAGGGGAAAAAAAAACCCACAAACACATAAAATGCAACTTGATCACAGAATTGTTATCTACTTCAGCAGCACAGACACACACAAACACACTGTATATACATATGTACAGGTATAACAAAAGCTTTGTGATCTCTGTAAGATTTTGATAAATTAGACTGTAAATTACACTACATTGAAATTTTATTCTATACATCTTACCCATTATGCCTCTTTTTGTACTTAAGCTTATCTCCTAGTTATTTTTTCCAGTTTTAGACACTTTGACCAAAAGGAATAGTCAGGATGATTTAATCTGGCCTTCAATATATCATAGGCCATTACTTTT